CCTCCCGCGGTAGAAGAGCTGGATGACGGTGGCAATGAGGAAGAAGGGGAAGAAGCCCGTCACCACCGACTCGTAGGTCATCCAGAGGTGGTGCTTGTGGAACCACAGGGCGTTGTAGAGCCACTCCCGGAAGTAGGACTTGCTCCAGCGGGTCTGCTGGTTGAGCCAGCGGAGGTACCGGGTGGGTGTCTCGGTCAGGCACTTGGCGCGGGCCGTGTACTTGGTCCGGTAGCCCAGGCTCAGGACGCGGTTGGTGAGGTGCCGGTCGTCCCCGAAGCTGCACTTGCTGCCCAGGAAGGTCTGGTCGTACCAGTCCTCCAGGAAGTGCTGCAGCAGGGCGTTGCGGTACATGCCCAGGGGCCCGCTGATGCACTGGACGCAGCCAAAGTAGGACTGGCAGGCCCGCTCCACGTTGAACGCCATCCAGTAGCGGACGCTGCTCAGGAAGGAGATCCACGAGTCGTACTTGTTCAGGATCTGGAGGGAGGAGGGGAGGCGGGTTGGAGCGGGGCATTCCTCCGGCGTGCGCCTCCCCACGCACCCCTCCCCTGCCCAAGAGCCACCAGCAGGCCCCGGAGCCGGCTGAGCCAGGACCAGGCTGCAGAGCCCCCTCCCTCCTGGGCCTGCCTCACCTGCACATCTCCACCAACCCCGCCGACGTGGGGGTCCTCCTCCAGGATGCGCAGCATCTCCACCGTGCAGGCCGGGTCCAGGACCGTGTCAGAGTCACACACCTGCCGGGAGACGGAGAGAGACTGTCTCAGCCGGCTCCCTCCCCTTCAGGCACCTCCACACCTTGTGTCAGGAAGAAAGGAACCCAGGCCAGGCGGGGACCCTTCCCCCTTGGAAGCCTCTGGTGTCACCTGTGGAGGGGAAGGCAGGAGAGCCCGGCCTGCCCCGCCCTTTCCCTCCTGGGCAAGCAGAGGAGGAGGAGGCCCATCGGACCACCCACTCAGTGGGTGAGGAGCCAGCCCGGGAGTCATGCCCCGCCCGCCGGGGAAACCTCTCCAGCAGGAAGCCCGCCTTCCCCTGAGCGCAGAGAAAAGAGAGCCAGGCTTGAGGCACCAGCAGGGCAGGGAGTGGGGCCACCTCCACTGCAGGGCCACGGGGCTGGGCTGCACACAGCATTCCTCTCCCCCCCCACACACACGCACAGCCCAGGAGGCAGAAGGACTCCACCGGGCAGGTGTGCGCCCAAGAGCCCCACCTGCAGGCCTCCGAGGACCAGCTGAACAGGGCCGGAGGGGGATCCAGAGTGAAGCCCCCCTCCCCGCGGCCCGCTGGGCTTGGCCCTCACCCCCCCTCCTCCTGGGGAAGACGCCTGCGCGCGGGCCAGCAAGGGGTGGGGGGGAGAGGAAGCGCCCCCTAGCGGCGCTCGGGCCCCCACCTGGACGTAGTCGACGGAGTCCCCGAGGGCGCGGAAGGCGGTGTACATGACCTCGCGCTTGCCGCCCCACCGCTGGAGGATGCAGACGTAGGCGTGGCGGCGCACCAGGGCCTGGACGTGGCGCACGGCGCGGGCCGCCTCGCCGCCGGGGGCCGGCGCGTGGAAGTTGCCCGCCCAGACGTAGGAGGCGGCGGCGCCGTCGGCGGCGCCGAGGACCTCGTGGAAGATGTCGCGCATGTAGGCGTCGCCGGGCCCGTTGCCGTCCACCACCAGCACTACGCGGAGGCCCGGGAAGGAGAGGCGGCGGACGGCGCGGAGGCACTGGCGCAGGTAGGCGGGGTCCTCCTGGAAGGCGGCGATGCAGAGGGCCACCGAGCGGGCCAGCTTCAGCGGGGGGCGGCCCGGGCGGCGCATGCGGCGGTGCTCCAGGAAGGCGAAGAGGCTCTGCGTGCCCAGGTGCAGGCCCAGGATGGCGCCGTACAGCCCGAAGGACAGGTAGTGCTGCTCCGTGTGGATGAACTGGTAGCCCGTCACGTAGGCCGCCAGGATGCCGCCCAGCACCGCCCCGGCGAACAGGCTCGTCCCGGCCACGCGCAGCCCCGCCGCCAGGCGCCCGGGCATCTGCCGACGGGGAGGGAGAGAGAGAGAGAGAGAGACCGCAGCCCCGGCTCAGACCAGCGCGCCCCGGCGAACAGGCTCGTCCCGGCCCCGCGCAGCCCCGCCGCCAGGCGCCCGGGCATCTGCCGACGGGGAGGGAGAGAGAGAGAGAGAGAGACCGCAGC